ATCTATACACATCCACTGCTCCTGCCCAAGCCCATCCTGGGTCCAGGAGCGGTGTATATGTCCCCCTGGCTAGGCCACGAGGGCGTATGCACCGCTCCCGGGCCCAGGATGGACCTGGCCAGGAGCAGTGGATATGTATAGATCTCGTAGCCCTACTGCGGCGGAACTGGGGGCTTAGTGGGCCCTGGAAACGACAGGGCCGTTTTTGTTACCGGTTCCGTTCTGCCGTTTTTGTTGCTGGTTCCGACGCCGTTTTTGTTACCGGTTCCGTTCTGCCGTTTTTTGACCGGTTCCGGCTCCGGTTCCAATCCTGGAGCCGTTTTTGTTGCCGTTTCCGGTCGCCGTTTTTTTTGCCGTTTCCATTTTCAAGAGACATTTTTGGAAACGGTGAAAAAACTGCCCTGCCGTTTCCGGGGCCCACAAAGGCTGGGGGGCCACGCTGCAATCAGCGTGCTGCCATACTCCGAACTTCTCAAGGCGTCGGGGGGGCGCCACCCCCGCCGACGGCCCCACATCGACCCCCGTCGCGGGCAGCCACCGCGCGCCGAAGGCGCTCCGACCCCTGTCGCGGCGCGACGGCGAGGCGAGGTTGAGCCCCGTCGGGGGGGTATCCCCCCACGCATATTCAGAAACCCAGAGTAAGGAGTAAGGAACGAAGGGGCTGCTCTGGCTACAGTAGCCACAAGAAACCTTCCACAAGAAACCCAACCCTGAGACCCCAGGACGTCCATCGCTCTTTGGTGAACGTCACGCCTTCCATGACAAAATCATCGAAACCCAAGAAACCCAGGGCACCCTGGAGGCAAGCAGGGTGTTTCTTCGCATGGGCCCCCACTGTAAGGAACGAAGGGGCTGCTCTGGCTACGGCAAGCCTCGGCTTCAAAGAGGCTCCCCGACCGTCGTCCAAGGAACGGCCCGAACACCCGAGAGCCCCTCCAGAGCCCGAGGTGGCTCTTCTGTCAGCGTCTCGACTGGAAGGGGGTTAGGAGGCAACTGATGGGATGCAACCCCTGGGAGAAAGCCTACAGTGGAGGCCCGACCATAAGAAATCTTCCTCAAGAAACCCAACCCTGAGACCCCAGGACGTCCACTGATTTCTGGTGTGGGAACGTCACGCCTTCCATCACAAAACCATCGAAACACAAGAAACCCAGGGCACCCTGGAGGCAAGCAGGGTGTTTTTGGCGTGGGTCTCCATTGTAAGGGTTACTCACCCCGGTTCAAAAGCCATTCAGCCATAAAGGCAGAACACCACACCACCCGTTTCCCTCGGGACCCCCGTCCCGCGTGGCGGAGGTCTGGGGAGGGAACATCCCTGTCATCAACGGCGATGATGTTCCAATGCGCGGTCCCAGATGTCGAGTAGGGGATCGACTACAGAATTTATTACCCCGAAATAAAAACTGTCTCGTCGAATCTTCGGACTATACTCCGAATTCTCAATAGATTTGCGAACATTCTACTTCGCCGCGGGGAAACTGAATTCTGGGGTCAATCAATTTTGTGGTCGGTCCCCTACTCGAAGAGGTCCCAACTTTCTCCCGAGGAGCACTTTTCCGCGCTGGATCCATTTTGATGGTCCCTTTGGGCCCGAAAACGGCCCCCGAGAGATCAAATCTGGGAAACACGCCTGGCTTAAAGACAACATCGGACCAGAGAGCGAACGACTCCACCCCACCTACGGCCCCAATGGGCTTCGCGTATGCCAGGAGATCTGGCGTGGATTTTTGCTTGGTATACGCTGCGGACCCGATGGGCGGGGCGTAACATGGAGGGCCGTAGGTGGAGGGAGGAGGGAAGAGGTTGGAGGGTTGGAGGGAGGGAGGGAGGGAGGAGGGAGGGAGTGAGGGAGAGAGGGAGGGAGGGAGGGAGGGAGGGAGGGAGGGAGGGTGGAGGAGGAGGAGGAGGAGGAGGAGGAGGACGAGGAGGAGGAGGACGAGGAGGAGGAGGACGAGGAGGAGGAGGGGTGGTATCGTCGGAGATCTGGGAAAGGGGCCTCCAGCAATTCCGCAATCGATGCATCCTGGGCGACAGACGCATCCGTATCCGCGGCATCGTGGCCGGGCTCCTGGGCCGCAGCCCCGCAGATACGGGGCGTACTTGTGTTGCGGATGCCCCGCGTGGCGCGTCTCTGTGAGACCGCGTATCCGCGGGGTCGCGCCCCAGAACCCAGACCCACGACGTCATGACTTTCTCATGACGTCGACCCCCAGGAGGTTTCGAGCTGTTCTTGGACGGCCCCGAGGCCCGGTAGGGGCCCCGAAGGGCCGAAAGCAGCGAAACACTTCCCGTCGTGACTTTTGCATGACTCGAGGGGGATCTGGGGATCCAGACCGCGAGGGCGCAGAGACGGATATGGAGGCCGCTCGTGGATGCCCGGCGCCACCGGACAGGCCAGCCATCGCCCCAGCCTGCAGCTGCTGGCCCAGGCCGCCGAGGCTGAGGCCCGGCTGGCCCAGGCCGGCCATCGCCCCAGCCTGCAGCTGCTGCCCCAGGCCACCTGCGTCGGTGGACTTTCGTGTCGCCCGTTCTCGCTTCGCTCTCGCGGACGAACCGAGGCGGACGAGGCGAACCGAGCGACACGAAGCGGACGAGATGGAGGAATTCCAGACGCGACTCCTGGACGAACCGGAGCGGAATCGCTGCGGCAGGGGCCGGGTGCGGCGACGAAGAGCGGCGACTCCGAGATCCTGGCGTCGCCTAGTTTCTCGAATCGCGCCCCGCGATGCGCGACTCGTGATTATGTTCGCGCCCCCCGCGCCGCCCCCCTGGAGCAAAGCAGTTGCTCTGGCCCAGACTGCGACGCGCGGAACGCGATTGTCTTGGCGACCCCGCGTGTGTCCTAAATGTTCGCCCTACGTCGGGCCGTGGGATATTCTCGGATCGAGCCGGCTCGAGAAATGCCGCAGAAACGTGCGGTCTGGGGCTCCGGTCGTCATTGATCCCCGGTGTTGCGCATGTGCCCGCGACGTCGGATCCTGGGGGAGGGGGGCGACCTCCCAAGAGCGCGGGGGACCTTCTATGGAGGGCAAAGTGCAGATTGGACGGCAGCTCAGAAACGCTGGGTTTCTAGGAAGACCGCTTGGCAACCAGAGGGGTTTCCAAGAAGCGCTGCGCCACCCGAGCTTCCCGGAGTATCCCCCGGATTCATCAGATGGCCGCCCCCTCGTGCCGCCGCCCCTTGCTGTGCGCGCGGCCGGTAGGAAGGGGGCCAAGGCAGAGGGGCCCCAGGCACCCAGCGCTCGAAACAAATGAGCAGGCAAATTTGTCGCATTGCTTGGCCACGGAAGGAAGAACGTAAAGAAAAGGGGCGGAGGGCGACGCGAGGCGGTGGAACGTTGGAGGGCGAGGGAGTAGGCGGAGGAAGAAACAAGGCAGTGGCGGATGATGGGGAGGAGGCGGAAGAAAGAAGAGACGAAGGAAACGGAGGACGAAGGGGGCGGAGGAAAAGCGCTCACCTTCTCGTGGGTTTCTGCTCCGCTGGACGCCTCGAATGAAAAAATGGCATGTCTCTTAACGTCCCTTCGTGCAGGAACTCGACTGCGGGCGCTGAGGATAACCAATACCCCATTGCCCCAGTGGGTCCGTGCTTCCAGCCAGCTTGCATGAATTCGTACGTCGAGTCTATGGAACCGTGAATTATGGATTCGCATGGCCAGCCGACACTGAGCATATATATAGTGTCATTATGATGCGTTTGAGCGCAATGGCAAAAAAGGGGGCCCTGAAAATCAAACGGCGGCGAGTGGCGGCGAGTGGTGCGTATACACACGTCACGCATGAACTATCTCACACCCGTGAAACTTTATCACGAGCTAGCCGGCAGACTTCGCAGTACCGCTGGACTAAGTAAGCCTCTAGGGGCAATAAAAGGATCACCCCCGTGTTGGGACTACTCAAGCCAAGGCAGCCAGGACTCAGTCACTCACCTCCCTGATGGGATAGCAGTGACTCTGGCCCTCGCCAGTTGTTTCTTCACTTTCTTTACGGTAGATTCAGGATCCGGGGTTACACCATACTAACCAACACGTCAGATCTTAGCAAGGAAATCCATAGGCAGATTCGTCGTTAGACAATCAAAAGCCAGAACACGTGCGTCGATCCATCGAATCTTATTACAACATTCGCGTGGATGTAGGATCTCTTCTTCTTCCATTCCATTCGTCCAAATATCTGCCTTAATCCCTCCTGAATCAAAACTCAATCGCTTATCTTCTGTCTTGCCCATAGTTGGGGCTATAAGATGTTCTTCATGGCTCTTACAATCCGTCATCCATAAATGTCTCACAGACATGGCTGATTTGTCGCCCCAAGTGGTTGGCAGTTTTTTTCCCGGCACCAAGCATCCAGCGAGCATCTGCGATGGCGGCGCGGATGCGTACACCAGATTCTACACCCCATAAACAAGCCAGAGTCCGTGCTTGTTGTGTAGATTTACATCCTCGTTTGGTAACTTCACTAGATATACATATAGGGGAACATGGCCACTGTTCCCCTCGATGAACCCAGGCCCTTGCGAGCCCATTGAACCTAGCCCTCTGTGATCTGAGGAGCTCGGTTCTACCCTTGACCATATCCTCTTCTCCTGCCCAGCTGGCGTCAGTAGCGACGAGAACTATCATATGTTGATCCCCCTGAACAGCTCCACCTTTAAATGCTAATCAGCAGTCGGCGGACTGAGTTGCTTCTTCTAATGCACGGTTGGCTTCCTTGAGATGAAGTGCCTTAGCGTGACGCGCTGCTGTGTGCAGTCTGCTCGCGCGATGCTGTAGCTCAGGTTTACACTGACGTGTAACCCACGACAGAGCACCTACGACCGATCTGAGCTGCGCTGTCTCACCCTCGTCGAATGTCCTCGCGAGGGGACTGTCCCTAGGTTAAATGCAATTTCGATATTCTCAATATTGTCCTCGGCCGTGACACTCACCGTGAAATTTTCATCTTGAACAACTTCTAAAACCCAATAACGGAAATTATCCGACTTGACCTCGCGAGTATCAAACTCTGCGAATACCGAATCGATGATTTTCTGGCTTTCATTATGCGAAAACCATGGTATCTCATCTACATGTGTACCTACGCGTTCTCATTCTTGCCATTGCGAATGCTGAACAAAGCGGGCACGCTACGATTCTCATGTAGACCATGAGCTTCAAACCTTTGCGAATTTCCTTCCATAAGCCTCGTCGTGCGTCACGCGTACCATAGACAGGCATGCGCGCGACCAGTGCCCCACCATCCGGTGCTCCTTCGGGTCCGTCGGGCGGTGGCTTTAGCAACATGAGGCGGTCGAGCTCTTGGCCCTGGAAATACGCAGATGTGATGTCGGCGCACTTGAGTCTTCCTCGTGCCGGCGGCACATGATACTATCAACCTTAGCCCTTCTAAATCGCATGTTGGCGAAGCCGCGCGGGTGCCCAATGACTCTTCCAAATCTCGGCGTACAGCAAGTCTACTCTTGTACTGCGGTGCAACCGAAGGTCCTCCCAGTCTGCGGAGATGTTCATTCTTGTCAATCTCGATCCACTGTGTAAGTTCAATGCGATATTCATTGTCGAAGACTGTGCAGTTCCACGGGCTCAATAAATATAGCGGCGTTGAACTTCCGCCATTTTCCCCATTCGTCTTGCCTTGCCACTCGTAAACCGCTGTTGATGTCCTCAGATTCTCGATGATATACCAGATTCTTTGCACTCCTTATCTTCTTCTGGGATCGGGACATATAAACGGTGCGCTCGTTGAAGAATCCGACGAGCGATGCATGTGGCTTAGCAGCGAGTGATGCTTCCATGCGGGCAAGCAGATCCTTGCCCGGACCTGACGTTCTGGCCCTGCGCATGGCATCAAGAAGCGGGTGCGCTGGTTCGGGAGCTGGCTCCGAGGCAGAATCGGGAACCCTTCCCGTGCTACCATCAACATTATCGACTCTTCTGCGCAGCGCATCACTTCGTCGTTACGACTCTGTATACCGCGTGGTACGTCGTCTAGCAAAGACCTCTAGAGTGGCGTTCGAGTCGCCAGTGCTGACCTCGATGCGGGCGTCGCAGGAAAGACCATTCCTTCAGACAGTTCATCTTCCTCCATGTCGCGAAGTGCTGCTCCTTTGAACTCGGGGTCCTCTGGGATCCAGAATTGTACAGAATGCACTTGTACCTGTGGTTCTGGCAGCTCGCGTCTTTCGTCCACAAAAGACGGTTGTTTTTTCCGTCTGGAGGTGCATATCTTTCGACTCCACCGTCGCGATGCTCGGATAGATACAGGTATGCCAACGCCTCCGCCGCAGTACACGGTCGAAGCCTGTCGACAGCCACGCAGACAGGCACGCCCTCTGCGATGACCAATGCGTTTTTGCTATCGAATCCAACGACGCGAGAACCAAGGCTCCACGTAGCTGCGACTTCGCCGTCGGTCGCCCTTTCGCGGAAGCACGCTACATCACTTAATACTTGATATTCCTCGGCTCATTGCGTTGCTTTTCGGAGAGCGGCCCTCGCCGTTCCACTCCCGACGTCGTGTTCCGCGAGTGCTTTCCTGACAGACAAACGGCTCGCAGCCTGGGGAACGGCAGCGCGCGGCGGATCAAGCTGAGCCTGGGATGCTCTCGACGGGAATTTGCCCGGGAATTCCATGGCCCACATCTTGCGCCCGTCTATGCGCCGGGCGCGCGAGCTCGGCGGCCCTCCGGGGGGGGGCGCCCCCCAGCCGCAACTCCTTCCTCCGTCGCGGGCCCTCCGACGCGCGGGCCCCGCGGATCAACGAGGGCAGGCGGGGGCGAGGGGGCGCGGCGCGAGGCGGGGCCGGTCTCGGGCGGCGGGGGGGGGGGGGGGGGGGGGGGGGGGAGGAAGGGGGGGGGGGGCAAAAGAGGGAGAGGGGTGGCGGATAAGGGCGCGGAGACTGAGGCGGACGCTGTGACGAGGAGGCGGCGACAGCGGCGGACGACGCGGAGAGGGAGGGTGAACAGACGGAGGGGGGAGGATGAACAACAAGTGCGATTCGCGCGATGATGAAGCTGACGATGATGATGGCGATTGCACATCTGAAGGTGGCGATGCTGCTGGCGATGGCGGCGACGAATATGGCGACGACGACGATGGCCATGATGATGACGCGGGTGGCGATCGCGACTCTGGTTTCCCTCGACGCCAGGGCCGAAATGAAAAGGCATCTGGTTTGAAGAGAAAAGTTACGGTCCGTCGTAGAGATCTCGAGTTGCCCCGCTCGGGGCCACGGCGAAAGGGCGCTGGCGCGGGGGGGCTTTCGCCCCGCTGCCGCGCGGCCGTCGATGGGAGGGCTGTTCACGCAGAGAAGCGGCGGCCTCATCCTCGGCGGCCGTATCGAGATGCTTCTGTTCATCGACGCTCGGGGCCTCCTCTTGACTGGCCTTATGCTCTGCGTGCGTCGGCGCGTCTGGAGCTGGGGCGGAGAAGACGCGCGCCTCTCAAAGAACACCGCCCGAGCGTCTCCAGCAAGTGCCCGCCCTCTTCCTCTCGCCACCCTCCA